CAACAAGCACATAAAAAGATGATAAACATTCACAAAACCTAACCTACTGCCTTCAATTTGATTCCGAGTCAGTGATCCCATAGGACAGAATGCCCCATAGGGTTTCTAAGACAGTAAATCTTTACAAGCCAACTGTCACTTCTTTCTTTGTTGGAAGGTTCAAACTGCTGACCTTTTGGCTATCAGCTGAGTGCTTTAAATACTGTACCACCAAGGCTCCTTCATTAGCCATTAAAACAAAACAAAAAAACAAATCCAGTGCCATCAAATCAATTCTGACTCATGTTGTTGTTAGGTGCCATTGTGTCAGTGCCGACTCATAGGGTTTCTGAGGCTATATATCTTTATGGGAGCTCAAAGCCTCATCTTTCTCATGTGGAATAGATGATGGGTTTGAAATGCTAGTCTTGGGGTTAGCAGCCCAGCAACCCAAATTCCTTTCAACTTCTGTAGGCTCATATGTCTTGGCATCAAACTTTTCCTGGATCTAGGAATTTCCCAGTGCAGGGACCCCAAGTCCAAAGGGTGCACTCGTGCTCCCAGCATTTCTTCCTTAGTGGCAGAAGATACTTCGTAGCTCTGCTTGCTTGTTTAATCTTTTATATGTTGTTGTTGTCAGGTGCCATCTAGTCAGTTGCAATTCAGTGACCCTATGCACAATAGAGCAAGATACTGCCCAGTCCTGTGCCATCTGACAATTGTTGCTGTGCTTGAGCCGGTTGCTGCTGCCACTGTGCCAATCCATCTAGTTGGGGAGGGGGGGGGTCTTTTCTTTTTCTTCACTGACTTTCCACTTTATCAATCATGATGTCCTTCACCAGGGACTGGTCCATCCTGATAATATGTACGAAGTATGAGAGATGAAATCTCATCATTACTGTATTGCTTCCAAAACAGATATGTTTGGTACTTTCAATATTCTTCCCCAACACCATAATTCAAAAGCATCAATTCTTTTAATCTTATAATTAACCTATATAGAGTTTCCCTGGAGTCCTGGTTTAGGGCTGTAGGATTAGCATTGGACTGCTAACCACAAGGGTGTTGGTTCAAACCCACCAGCCGCTCTTTGGAAATCCTATTCAGGGTTGCCATGAGTCAGACCTGATTTGATGGCACTAAACAGTAATATAGCTTTTCCCAAGTGTAAATCTTTATGGGAGCAGAAAGCCTCATCTTTCTCATGTGAAGTGGATGGTAGGTTTGAACTGCTGACATTACAGTCTATTGCTTATAAGGCAGCAAGTCCTGGTGTAGCTGTAAGATAAACAATGGATGGCTAACTGAAAGTTCAGCAGTTCAAACTCACTAGCCACTGCTTGGAAACCCTAAACAGGGTCGCTATGAGTCAGAATTGACTCAACAGCACTTAACAATAACAACAACAATAAATTATATATATATATATATATATATATGAGTCCCAGTGTGTTACTGGAGGATAAGCACTGGATGGTTAACTGCAAGGTCAGCAGTTCAAATCCACCAGATGCTTCTTGGAAACTATATACAGTGTTGCTGTTAGTCAGACCTGACTTAATGGCACTTAGAAGCAAACAAGCAACAAATATATATATTCCACTGTTTTATATATATATAAATAAATAGTGGAATACTACTCAGCTGTCTCTGTAGGATAAGCATTGGACTTCAAACCATAAGGTTTGTGGTTTGAGCCTACAAGTCACTCTATGGGGAAAAAAAGATGAGGCTTTTTGTTCCTGCAAATATTTATGACTTCAGAAACCTTATATATGGTGCTATAAGTAGGAACTGACTTGCAGGCACTTAAAAACAACATGCCGAGAAATGGAAGTGCAGTGGATATGCAGAATAAGCACTGGACTGCGAACTACGAGGTCTGCAGTTCAAGTCCACCAGCAATTCCTCGGGAGAAACAGAAGACTTTTTTGTTCCAGCAAAGATTAACAGCTTCGAAGACTCTATGTTGCTGTTAAGTACCATCAAGTCAGTCGCAACTGAGTCACTGAGTTGGAACTGACTCAACGGTGCTTAACAACAGTATATGGAGAAATGAAATCCTGATGCATCCTACAACATAGATGAACTTTGAAAATGTTATGCTGAGTAATGAAAGTCAATCACAAAAAGACAAATATTACATGATCTAACATATAAAGGAATCCTGGTGTGGTGCTGTAGGATAAGCAGTAGACTGTTAATTAAGAAGGTGATGGTTTAAACCCACCAGCCTCTCCTGGGAAACCCTATACAAGGTCACTATGATGTGATGGCACACAGCAACAACAAAAACCTATATGAACTATCTAGAATAGGCAAATGTATAGAGAACAAACTTGATTAATGGCTACCAAGGGTGGGAAGGAGGGGGAAAGGGGAATCAAAGCTTAGGAAGACTTGGGTTTCTGTTAATGGTGACAGAAAATCTGGCAATGGATAACGGTAAAACATGGTTAATATAATCAGTGTT